TACTTGTGTCATACCACTTCGTCCACTCCTGATCCAACTACCACGACTCTAACAGGTTATGGGCCCAGGATTGCATCTGTAAAGGAGGAATTTAGCCGCGGAATAAACTTTGCAAATCGAAAATTCGAGGAATAACGCGTGTGCTAAAATGGCGGAGGACGAGAAATACAAGGTACCACTCTTCGATGGAAGCAACTATAGTAACTGGAAGTTTCGTATGCAGATTCTGCTTGAGGAACACGAGCTCTTTGATCTAGTCGGTAATGAGCTTGGTACACTAATAGCAGAGCTACCAAAGGAAACCGAGGCTGCACGATCCCTTGTCCTGAAAAGAAATGACAAGAAGTGCAAGTCACTACCCTAACAGCACAGATGACGGAAAGTCGACTTTTAGTCGACTTTTATAAGTCGACTTTTAGTCGACTGTTAAAACTGACGGAAAGTCGACTTAAAGTCAGTTTTAACCTTTGACTATATAATCATGGACTGCTAGTTGCCTCCACTTTGCCTGGTCTAACACGTAATCAACATCACGAGTGCCGCCATAGGATAAATGGCAGAAAATCGAAACACTAAGTCAGATTTAATGGTAAAACAGGACAGAAGACAGAGATAGAATATAGCTGTTTTATCATGTTTATCAGAGTTCAGAACCAATTATAATATAATTGGTTCTGAACTCTGATAAACATGATAAAACAGCACGACATAAGCTATATTCTATCTCTGTCTTCTGTCCTGTTTTACCATTAAATCTGACTTAGTGTTTCGATTTTCTGCCATTTATCCTATGGTGGCGCTCGTGATGTTGATTACAGCCTGAATGCGGCAACTAGCAGTCTTCTTCTTATTCTTATTATTGGCACTCGGCTCACTGACCACTGAGCCGACACGGCCAAGACGAACCTTTAGTCCTCCATAAATGCAACACGCTACACTGCCGCACCCTTGCGGCGAATAGTCAAGGGAGGAGAGCGGCCGATTTAAAGGCCGCTAAGAGGAGGCGGCATAATTTAGGCTTGGGATTAACGATCAAGGGAAAGATGTTCTGGGGGTCAGTAGTGGAATCTAGCAAGTCGGAATAGATGAAATCAGTGAGATTTTTCATATGGTTTTTAAAGGTAGGACAGGCGAAAATAACATGATTGAGGTCTTGGGACTCTGCACCGCACACACAGGCAGGAGACGCGACGATATTTTTCCTGAATAAGCTGTAATTTAAATTATAGTGATTGCTCCTGAGCCTGTTGATGAGGACAATAAGGGAGCGTTTAAGCCGAACTTTAAGAAACCACGGCTTGGGGGAGGAAGAATGGAAGTACTGAAAATGGAGAGCGCCCTTTGATTGGGCAGCATATGACACATTTCCTAACCTATCAGGTCGCATACTTTTTTTCGCGGCATGCAGCACGTGTTGGCTGCGGTCAAGCTGCCACTACATTAAATGCTTCGAAGCGTTTCTCTTCTCCTTTTATCTTTATTGAAAGAAATTAGGAAAAGAAGAACACTTCGAAGCTGCACTTATTTGACCGGAGCCGCGAACATCCTCTTGGAAAATCTTGAGCTCTTTAATACATAATAATGACGAAAATATTGAACGTACAAACTTATAACACAGAATAGTTAATTATTGTCGTCAGTATGTGATCATCACGAGTTGACAAGTAACGCCAATATGTGATTTCATATTTTTCCCTCATGTGCATGTTAACTTGTGCTCACGGTATGTATCATCACGATGTGATTACGAAACATATATCATATGTCGATCAATATCAGAAGATCATAACATGATGAAATCTGATCATCACGCGTTGCTATCTGGGAAGTTCACACGACTGTTCCATGGAAGACCTCAAGTTCAAGCGAGACTCCACCAAAAAATCTGTAAAAGGGATGCGAAATTCCGGGGCGGGACGGCGAAGAGTCGCCTCCTTAGCCAAAGCATCAGCAGTCTCATTTCCAAGAATCCCGCGATGAGCAGGGATCCAAACCAGATAGAAAGCTCTCTCAGAGGACGCAAATTGATGGAATATGTCTTTGATGCGCGAGATAATATAATTGAGAGGAAAAGGATTACAGGAGCATACTGCTTCCAGCACACTCCTGGAATCAGAAAAGAAACATATTTTGCTGTAATCTATGCCGCGTTCAAATGCCACCTCAGCCGCGCGAAGAAGAGCCCAGGCCTCCGCCGAAAAGATGGAAGCACCGGCCGGTAAACTCAAAGAGATAGTTAAATTCAATTCCGGGGAAAAAATTCCAGCTTCAACCGACGACTCACCCCCTCGCTTGGAACCGTCGGTGTAAAATGTAAGAGCGCCCTCCCGTAAGTCCGCCGAAGAGTCAAGGAATAAGGATGCAGATTCGTGGGGCCCCATGGAATTAGGAATGAAAATTTTAAGGTATGATGGTCGAAAAATCGCACCCTCATAGCTGCTGGAGAAATATGAAAGAGAAGGAGAGGTGAACATGAGTTCACAATCATCTCTGTTCTTAATGTAGGCTCTTAGAGTAGGCAAACGTTCCAGAAGCCAGACACGTTTAGCAAAGGACGAGACCGACGCAACCCCTTGCAGAGACTGTATGACTGCATTCTCAGACCTGGCCAAATTCTTATAAATAAACCTAGAGTTAAGGAAATTGAGTCTGCACAAAAGCGGAGGCTCCTTGGCCTCATCGAGCATGACATTAATAGGAGTGGAGATTCTATATCCAAGTGCCGCCCTGATAGCACGATACTGAAGTCTGAGCAGACGAGTCATTCTTGAGGCGTTTCCCCTGACGATAAAGACCTGATGCCCGTATTCCATCACACTGCGAAGCAGAGATCTATAAATAGTCAAGAGAGAAACTGGATGAGCTCCCCACCAAATCCCAGACAGGGAAGAAATGACGTTGACAATTGATCTACATTTTTTATAAGTATTTTCGAAATGGAGTCCACCTGAACATCTAGAATCAATAGTAATTCCCAGGAAGCGAACGGCTGAAGCCGGACTGATCGTTTCACCTCCCAAAGTAATACCACCCAAGTCGGTTCTAGAGCCACCCCTGGAAAAATGCATCACGCGAGATTTAGAAGCCGAGAGGCCAAGGCCCCGGCTGCCCAAGAAGGAATCCAATCGCTCAATTGATTCCGTAAGAAGTTTCATAATCTGGAAGGAATCCCTGCCTCGAGACCATATGACCAGGTCGTCGGCGTACTGAAGAGCCCTCACGCCGAATGGAAGACAGGAGGGAAGTTCTCTAATAAAGATATTGAACAGTAAGGGGCTCAAAATGGATCCCTGAGGGGTACCCCTAAAAGAGAACCTAGAATCGCTCAATTCGCCATCCAAAAGGAACTTAATTTTCCTTTTCCGAAGAAGATTAAAAATAAATACTGCGAGGTTGCGCGGGAATCCCACCAGAATCATACCCTCAAGCAGTAAGAACGGGTCTACGTTATCGAACGCCGATGCGATGTCGAGGAATACGGCTGAAAGTTTCTCCTCGTTAACCAGAGCGCCCTTTACTTCACAGGCAAAAATGGAGAGGCTGTCTCCACAAGATCTAGATCGTCTGAAGCCAAATTGTTCCTCTGGCAGAATATTTCTAGACTCGATATACCAGACCAGTCTCAAATACAAGATCCTCTCCATTACCTTGAGAAGACAAGATAACAAGGAGATGGGTCTAAAGCCTTCTCCCCCGCTCTTTGGGATAAGTACAACAAGGGCGTCGCTCCACTCGGGGGGGGGGGGGGGGGATACACCACTAGTTAAAAAGCCATTGAAGAAGACACGAAGAGAATTGATAAGATAAGGAGGAAAAACAGAGATGATAGAGTAATCTATTTGATCCAGCCCGGGCGCCGACCTTTTCTTAATGAAGTGAGAGATCGCAAAGTTCATTTCCCCCTCAGAGATGGGGGCGCCCAGAGAAGGCTCGGGGGCCAATGTTGCCCTACGAATCCAGGACTCGATAAAGAAAGGGATATCAAAACGAGGCTCGCATGAAGGGGGGCAGAGTTTACACTCCGCCTCACCCCTGCACGCCTCATTAGAGGGAGAGTCTCCCGATTGAGAGCCCAGATCACAAGCCAGGCGTCTTTTTCTGAAAGATTTAACCAGGCTCCATAACTCCCTGGAGGGCGTATGGAGATCGAAAGCCGTGCAACGTGCCCTCCAGCTCTCGCGTTTGTGCTTTCTGAAAATCTTGGCGCAGGATGACGCCGCCCGTCTATATTCCTCCAAAGTACGCTCCGAAGGGGATCTCCTAAAACATCTTAAAGCATCAGATCTGTTCCTTCTAGCTTCCTCGCAGTCGTCGTCCCACCAGAGAGCCGGAACACAGCCGAAGCCATGGCCAGACTCCACAGTGCGGGCCGAAACGCGCCTGGGGCCAAGAACCTCCCTCACCGTATCCATAACAAAACCGAGAAGATACCCAGACAGCAAAATGATAGCAGATTGTAGGCAGACTGGCAACAGATTTCATCAAAATATTTCAGCAGACTGACATCATCTGCGTCCGCATTCAGCTTGTGTTCTGCCGCCAGAATCTGCCGACATGACCGGACAGCAGATTGACGGCAGAAATCGAGCAGATCCTGCTCATGCAACATGGTGGCAGATTGGCGGCAGAAACCGAGCAGGGTCTGCTGACATAACCTGCCGCCGAACTGCCACCAGAAATGCAACAAATTCTGTAGTCGAGCGATTTAAATCGTGACGTAACTGGTACCCCAGCAGCACATAAACATTGGCCTTACGTTGATTGCCCAACGTTTATTATATCGGTCCGACGTTTCAAAATAACAATGAGCCAACGTTGGCGGCGTCACGCTGGTTCACCAATGGCCAATGGTTGGTAAATTGTTGGATTTTATATTGAGCCAACATTATGCCAACATTGGGCCTCGATAAAATAGCAAAAAAAATTTGGAATAGATTTTTTATTTGTTATTTTTATTTTCTCTACATC